TCACAATTCTACTTTTCTGTGTTGAACAATTAGTTACTTAAATCGCGACAGTCGGATTATTAATCTCACATAAAATTTCTTATAATTATTTTGAGACAAGCAAAATTAAACAATCTAATTGATTTATGTCAATTACAAATTATTTTTCTCTAATGTAATAGATGACTTTGTTTTATTTATATTGTTACAAGATTTCAAACAATAAACAAAATCAAATAAATTAATGTTGAATGAATCAATACTTTAGAAAAAAATGCATATATTTTTCTATCATATATAAAATGACAAATATGAGAAATAACTTCAATTACCTGTCCTTATCAGTTTCGGGATAAGGTACAATGTAACCTTCGGGATTAGGCTGGGAAGTGTTTCCAACCCAGAAATAAGCATCCGGGCCGGTGCCGTCATAACAAAATCCTTTTATAAATATCGTTGCATCGTCAACGGCATACACTTTACCTTTAATGCCATGTGCGTATTCTTGTAAGGTTCCAATTAATTTGCCATAATAATTGGGACCGTTTCTGGCATAACCTGAAAATAAAAATAATATGATTATATCTAATAATTATGATTATATCTAAGAAATATTTTCTCAAATATTTTCTCAGGTACAATTTATTTATGATCTATTTAAAATCTTTTTATAAAATTTATCATTTATAAAATGCATTTATAAAATTGTAAATATTCCAGTTTAATATTATTAATTAAAAATTAAAAACGCTATTGCAAATAACGGATACACCTACGGATACACCATGTACACCTTCTTTACAAATAAAATAAATTTTGATTATTATTTCCTATTCTTCTTATTCTTCATCTTATACATATGGGTACTTTTCAACGATGCGATTGTCTGACTAAAGCTTCTCGAAAGATAACTAAAGCGATTTGTGAATTTTGTCCGAACGAGCAGCGAGTCGGGGATATCGTGGAGGAAGTACGTTTCACCCTCATGATGTAGGTTGGACGCATCGCCGCCCCGATACAAAACCGATGCGATGCCGCCTCGACAGCGCAAAGGGAAGCCGGCGTGGCGCGGTTCCGCGATTTGCATGAATTTCATTTCATTTGCTCGACAGGTCTGTAAAGCTGGGCGCCGTAAATGTATATATATATATATATATATATGTGTGTGTGTGTGTGTGTGTGTGTGTGTGTGTGTGTGTGTGTGTGTGTGTGTGTGTGTGTGTGTGTGTGTGTGTGTGTGTGTATCGGAAGATTCACCCGCAACAGTAAAGATCAGAGAGCGTTTACGACCAGGATCTGGAGAGCTCCAATGATAATCATTCGGCGCGCATCTAGGAAGAGCATGTTTAAAAGCTGAAATGCAAGGCATCCGAAAGCTTAGCCAACTACGTCCGAAAGGTAATAGAAATAGAAGTTCGATACGGAAAAATAGAATAAAATTAGCAGATTAGGACTTAGCCTTTAATCCTTAGGCATCGACCGTGGAACACGCATAGATCTAAAGACTCTCACTATCGGTTATCTTAATTCTATTTCTATAGAACAAAAAACATTTAAATAAAATATAAGGAAAAAGATTTTTAAATGTGATAAAAATATTTTGTTTATCATAACAGAATTTATAAAAATATTAAAAATATATATAATGTTATCGAGCGAAATATTTGCACGATATATTACTACATAACATAATAAATTTATGTAATAATAAAATATTTATACACTTTAAAATATATTTTCAAAACTATCATTTTTCTCTTAAAACTAAACTTAAAATTTGTATTAAAAATATATATAAAATATACACAAAAAGATACATAACTGCAAATCCTATATTGTATCTTCAAAATGATAATAAAAGAATTAACAAGTGTATCAAATATTAAACTTATACTTTTTATTCTACATTTTTTTTTATATATATAATAATATTAGCGTAGAAATAATAATTATCATGTTTAATATTATCAATTAAACAGTAATACATAAAGAAACCAAAATTTCCAAGCGTCAAAAACAATTTAAAAAATTCGCTTAACAGCGATCGTGCGAGCATCCGCACAGCAAGCGCTGTGCCCATGTGGAATAAGTGGCGTGCGGGGGTTTCTGTATTTAAAGTAGCGGCCCGTTAGCGTCGTTGTAGCGCGTTAATTCGTCCCGGTGATTATGGATCCATTAGCGTGGCAGCCAACAAATAGCACGGTACAATCCAATAACCGTCGCGGCCCATAATAAAAGGGGAGGAACAGGTTTAGGCACCAGTCGGGGGTAGTTTAGTTGGTGGTGCATAGTCACGTGTATACACGCGCGTCCTCGTTGTTGTGTATGGAAAGCTTCACAGACACACGCGTGTCCACGGAATCCGCAAGGGTGGCTCCACACCCTCCCCCATGCAGGACGCAGCAGATAGCGATCATTGCGTTCATTGTCGCATCATTGTAATATCCTCCTGCTATAGCGAAAGGGTTGGGCGGACGAAGAAATGGTCGTGAAGGCCCAGGAAATTCCCCGCCAATGTCTGTGTGAAAGTACCGAACAGGGTGAACGATGAGAGAGGGTGGGATAAAAGCCTTCAGCGTTATTTCTAAAGACCGACATCAACGACGTCTTGATCATCAACCTACTTTCGTGAAAACGTCAATGAAACGCAACGTAGTTAAGAGAGATCTATGCTACTAATATTTTTTCACTGTCATTATTGAAGTATCACAAATATGTCAAGTAATATAGTATAAATGAATGTAGTATTTATGTATGATCTAGAAATTAAATCTAATAAAAATTATAGACAGAACTAAATTAAAGGCAAAATTTAAATAATTATACTATAATAATTATTTAGCTTTAACCATTTATAATTTTTGTAAAAGTTATTATCTGAGAAATTATTATTCAATACAAATATATCTTACTCAATGATTGATTTTTACACTGGTTTAAATTCATTGTTCAGTTTTCCGAAAGATTCAAAGGATTGTGCGCTGTATTGGAGCTTGAATTCGCTCAACATTCGGGATGAATATCGGCTTCGGGCAGTGAGCCCACGGTATGGCGAGCTATTAAATGACGAATCATATTCATTCACGAGCATGCTCGGTATCTTCTACGCCAGTAAAATCGGGAGTTTTAAGCAAACAAGTTGGCCAATTTTATTCATATTCTGACCTGTGACATCAAAATATAAAAAAAAAAAATATCTCAGTATCTATATACATATATCTCTCTGCCATTTTGTTAGATAAAACAAGTTTTTTCGACTCGTGTGACTTTGAATCAAATCATCATCTGTAAACATCTATTAAAAAATTAAATTTTCAAAAAGAAGTGAAAAAAAAATGTACGTGTTTGTTACAAAAAATTTTTTAATAAACTAATAATACTATTTTAATTAAAAGAGATATTATAAGAAAAAAATTATACATTACAAACATAATGAAATAACGTGATTTTAATTTAATTTCTATAATATAATAATATCAAAAATTGAGTCAATAAAAAAAATATATTATTTTAATAGAAATCTGCATTAAGCAGAATAAAATATTTCATTTTAAAAATTTAGCGCCGCTAAATTAAACATTTTAACAAAATTAATGTATATTTAATTTTCATTTCACCTTTATCATATTTTTATAGTAATAAATATTTGGATTAAGTTAAATAATTATTTTGTTTTAAAAATATTTTAAAATCTTGCATAAATATAATTTAAATGATTATTGAAATTGAAATCCGCGTTTGACATTTTCAATAGACCAAGTATTGTCATTAGATTTTTAAAAAATATAACTCATAAGTTATAACAGATATCAATAAAAATATTAAAATGTATAAAATATTTGGTGCATATTTGTTATATACATTTTTTTTCATAAACATAGGAAAAAAAAAATAGTCAGATTAATTCGAACAAAATCTTCATTGATGCGAGGGAGACCGCGTCATTTAACTGGCCGGCCGCACAAATGAAAGCTCGCCGTGGACTCCGCGAGGTTCGTTTGAAAGCAGGATATGGTGCTAGAACGATCGAGGGAGTTCGGTCAACATTTGAGCACGGTAAACAGCACCCACTTGTCAATACCCCTCTCACATCTATCTCTCTCCGTTGGTCTCTCTGCCGATCGGCTTCCGAATTGCGCATAGGTCCTTCGAATAGTCCCCCCCTCTCCCCCAACACACATTGATCTTAGCTAGGGTCGTCTTAGGGACCATCGCGCCCTAGAAACTGTCCCCTTAGCTCGGGGCATCACTCGACACAAAGCATATTGCGTACGCCGCAAATGCGTACGCGCGAGCATAAGGTTCGTTAGCGCGTGACGTACGGTCTTTACTATCACGATCGAATCTGATGGATCCTTTGTGCTGCGCATTTAACGGAGGATCGACCGAGCCTAATCCGCTTTTTGCTCGGCAAAGCGCGAATACGCATAGTGATGTATGTAACGTGGTGACGAATCGGGACAAAGTGGCTGAATGCGCGTTGCATTTGCAGCAGTGTTTGCGTTGCGTTGCGTTGCGTTGCGTTGCATTGCGCCGCGACGTTGCGTTGCTCTCCAAGAGAGAGACGCGTATTTTCGTCGCCTGAGCCGCGCGTAGAGATCGGTCTCGTGTGTTGGGTCCATAGCATGGGAAACCCGAGCCCCTCGAAAATTGTACCCGTTCTCAAAGCACGTTTCCCAATGCTCACGTCGCGATCACGCAAACTGCGCAGATCTCCGATTTTCATTCCCTATCGATCGCAGGAAGGAAAGGAAAAAAAAAGAGACCGATTTTCTACGACCGGTTTCGATTCACAGGTTCGAACACCGATTAAATTCGGATTGACACCGGTTAAAGAGATATACATTCCTAAGCCGGATCGGTACGCGACCGGTTAAGTGCGCCGGGCGGCGTACGAGCGCGCTTTCACTTTCGTCGAGCACGAATCGTGCAACGCGGTCGATCAAGCGAAAACCGACCAATGTCCCTCCGACATTGCGTTCAATCGCAAGCGAGCAACGGCGAGAGATGTTTCCAGGTGATTCCCCACGTCGCCTCGCACGTCGGGCTTTCCCCGTAAGAGAGAAAGTAACAGGAGACGGCGGAACTCTCGGTGACTTAGGACATTAACGAGACTAACCGGATTCATCGCGCGGCTGCGACGGCGACAGCGGGGGCGGGAGAGCCAACGGGGGGGAAACGCCGAAGAAAGGAGAGCACCGGGCGGTGGCACTGATTTTAATCAAGATATGGCCTGGCAGCAGCCAACGGCGGATCAAGCGAGCCAGGGCTTATCGATTTTCTAAGTGCTCCCGACCGACGGAGCTGTCGTCGCGACACCCGGCGTGAATTTGAAACTAATGGAAAGAGAGATTTGCACGCGCGCATTTTATTATCCACCCGATCGTCAGGCACTCGTTCGAATTTTTTTTTTTTAAATCACCGCTTCTGTTTCTCCTACTAGCGAACCATATTTAAGCCATATTTCAATCATCGAATTCTATCCAATCCAAAATTCACTAGAACTAGAATCTACAAAAGATATCTTTTATTTTATTTTGTTTTAGGTACACTCATTT